TCTTAACATTTCCTGTTTTTTTTTTTTTTGTTTTTTTGCTCTGTTTGAAGACAGAAATAGAAAAATGACACATTTTGTGCTTCATTTACAGTCTCTTCTCAATTACTTTCAGTTTTACGTGGTTGTTCGTAGCAGCTAACATTTTGCTGCTGTTTGATTTTCGTTTACGGAAAAGAGTCTGTTTGCAGCTGTGTAAGCGGTTCAATAATAAATGCTAATTGCCAAAGTTGGGCAACGTATTTTTCGGTGATTTGTCAAATATATTTAATGATGCAGATTCCTTCACTTTAAGGATGCATTTACGGCTAAGTTTCTAGTTCTTGCCACTGAACACGTCTGTCTGCATATTTTTGCTAAAAGTGGTTATTTTATTTCAGCTACTATTGCATATGGTTTACAAGGTATTGAAAATTTATATGGGTTTTATCAGTTGTATAACTAAAATTTTGAACTTGGAAGTTTCAAGTTTTTAAGAGGCTTGAGAAGGTGTTTGCTGTATAACGCTCAGATTGTGTAATACTGAGGTGAAAATGGTTTTAGAAGCCAAAAAATTTTAATGCTGATAAATGTTTCATTTGAAACATCCTTTATCAAAAGAAAAGAGAAGCATTCTTGAAAAGAGCTGAAAAACCAGAAGACTAGCGCATGTTTTGCCTGAACTTAATCATAAGTGAATCGAAAATACACAGTAAATTAGGCTGATTTTTTAGTCTTGTTTTGAAAAGCTTGAGGATGAAATAGAAAAATTTCAGAAAAGTTTACTAGGGTTTTTGGAAGGTATGTACCTCAAAAAAGACGAACCTGCGTAACAAGCAGAGTATATATATATACCATAGAAAAGTAAGTGATAGTATTTAAAAGTATAATATAGCATAGTATGTAGTGCGTAAAACCTAGTAGAAGGCAATCGACGTGATTGGTGTAGTATGTAGTATGTGACAAAATCATCTTGCATGCACAATTGTCTGCTTTTTACCAACAAATAAAATTACTTTGAAACATTCAATTAAGTTTTGAAAAAACGTATATTGCTGCAAACTGGTTTATTAGCACCATATTTCAGACAAAATCTGGAAAATTCAGCTTGTCTGCGAACATAAAATGAATAGTCCTTAAGCCAGCATTATACTGCTCCAGACCAAATTCCTTTTGAAGATGGCCTCAGCAATTATAGGTGCAACTAAAGCGTTATCTTTTGAGAGGTTGCTATCTTAGACACCCTCGGTTTTCTTTATAATTCTAATCAATTTTAAGAACTGTTAGCCTAGGGAACAAACATACTTTGTACTTTGCAAGATTCAACGTCAGTTTTGCAACGGGATGAAATTAATCAAACCTTTGAATTAACTTCAGTTTACATTTAACGGTATTTGGATTTAGTCTTTCTAGAGGTTCTAATTCACAGACGTTTAAAAGTTTAGAAAGCTGTTAATGTGGAGCTATGGTAAACATAGACGTGCGAGTCTTTATTAAGCGTCCTGGAAGTAATGTGACTTTTTAAACTAAAAAACAGTTATATTCACATTTAATCATGTCAGTTTCATTTTGCTGTACATTAATATGTCTAACCCACTTAGAATTTAATTTTTTGCGAGAGGAAGTTAATAGAAATATTATCCTAGTGGATTATATAAAGATCGGTCTTATTTTTAATAAAAGACATGACTGCCACTTCTTTAAATTACTATATGCACACGGCAGCTATTGGTTTCATTGATGTTTTGTTTTGAAGCACTCTGATCTAAGGCTCGTTTTTTTTGCCTTAATTCTCTCTCTTCCAGAAAACTGTGTTAGTAAAAAAGTGCTCTTTAGCAATTTTTAGTAAGATTTTCTTATATTTAATGGTCAGAGCTGAAAAAAACTTTTTTAAACGTGGAAGAGGAACTGACTAAGCATGAAATACGCTGCTTGTAGTATAAAATAAATTATTGAAGATGGCCACAGCAATTATAGATGCAACTAGAGCGTTATCTTTTGAGAGGTTGCTATCTTAGACACCTTTGGTGTTCTTCATTATTACTAAAAGAGCAATAGGAATAGTGAACAATGCACCTGAAAAAAAAAAAGCACCAGGAGAGGTTCAACAGAAAATGATTTATAACTTTAAAATGAAAAAAAAATTACGAATAATTTACAAATTTTAGGAATACAGAAATAAATATGGTTTTTTTTTACGGAACTTCAGAATTCAAGAAAATGCGTGGATATTTAAAAAGCTGTATAAAGCAAAAACTGATTAAAAAAAGATGATGATGTTACCTTGGAGCTAATTTTAAAACAGAGGCTATAGCAGTGATAAAGTTTTTAAGCAGTTTTGAAAAATAAAAATTGAAAAAATGAAACCAGTAAAATAAATGCAGTGAATTGGTAACTGACTAAATCAGTTGAAAAAAAGGTTTATATGCAGAGGTGATAGAAGATTTGTGAATTTTGAGGAAGTTGAGAAAAAAGTTAGTCGAGGAATTTCTGCCTTTTTTTGTCACCTTTGCACTTTGAAGTCGTCCTCTGTAATCAGATTTCGGCCTACTATATTGAGTTGATTTTGAAGAGTACAAGAATTTACCTGGTTTTGCACGACAGAGTTATAACTTTTTTTTTTGTTTATCAGTCAAGTATTGTAAGCATTAATAGACAGCATTGTGCTTTGCTCTGATTGAAGCGTTCCTAATTTTACTTTTTTTTT